CACACCGCCCAGGCCCAGAGCTCAGGCCCCACGACTCCATAACAACAACAAAAAAGAGATCTGAGGAGCAAGGCTCAAAGTCAGCCTAGCCAAAAATGTGCATGAGACCCCAAGTAACCAGCAAAACGCCAGAAACAGAGGCATGGCTCAAGTGACAGAACACAATCCTTAAATAAGAAAGCCAAGGGGCTGGGAAGGTGGCTCAGCGGTAGAGCGCTTGGCTTGCATGCATGAGGCCCTGGGTTCGATTCCTCAGTACCACATAAGCAGAAAAAGCGGGAAGTAGCGCTGTGGCTCAAATGGTAGAGTGTTAGCCTTGAGCTGAAGACCTGAGGGGCAGCATCCAGGCCCTGAGTTCAGGCCCCATAACCAGCAAAAAAAAGAAAGAAAGCCAAGCAAAGAGTGAGGGTCTGATTTCAAGTACTGGCACAAATGAATGAAAGTGAAACTTTAAAAACAAAAATCAAGTGATAAAGCATCATTCAACTAGATGACAAAATTCATCCTACATCACCACCATCATCATCAACAAACCCCACAGCTGTGAGGAAAAAATACTAACAGGTATTCAGGTCTCTGTCAGAACCATCACTTGAGCCTGAGCTCAGACCCACCTGCCCGGACCTCCTCATGCTCCAGGACCACTCGGTTATAGATGAAGCGGATATACTTGGAGGGGCTGTTGGTCTTGGGTCCCTCCTGGCCTAGCAGATGCAGGATTCGGGTGGCCAGCACAGTGAACTCGCAGTCCTCGATGAATTCACACAGATGGGACAGACCCGTCTCCTTGCTCTCCGAGTTCTCCTCAATGATGCTGATGATGCAGTCCACAATAGCTCGCTTATATTCGAAGCCTCCCTACAGAGGAAGGGATCAAATTGGGCAAGGAGCCTGCTCCTTTCAGTGCTCCAAACGCTTCTTCAGAGGCGGGGCACCTGGTTTACCACCTCTATCTCTTGGCCTGGATGCTCACAAGGGACTTCTATCAGAAGAGGATAGAATGGAACATTTTTAGAACCTACTTTCTTTCCTGACTTTGAGATAAGACAACAGGCAGAAGAGGTGGTACAGCTGCTATGGAAAGCAATATGGCAGATTCTTGAAGTATTAAGCAGAATTACCATCTGATCCAGTAATTCCACTTCTGGGCAGATACACAAAAGAACTGAAAGCAGAGAGTTAAACAGGTATTTGTACACTCATGATCAGAGCAGTAGTAGTCACAATAGCTAAAACATGGAAGTAATCCAAGTGTCCACTGATGAATGAGCGCAAAGGAACACTATTCAGCCTACAAAGGAAGGCTACACTGTGGACTAACATTGCCATGTCATGCTAAATGAGGCCAGAAAGCCAGAGAATGACAGACGCACACACGCACTGTGTGAGCCCACCCTGAGGAGCGGCTTGCTGCCTCGCTGAGCATCACAGCATCTCCCATCCAGCATTCCAAAACAATACCAAACACACAAGGCACTGGCGCCTCTACTCTCTGCCCCTTGACGCACTCTTGATCTTGACCCACTTTTGGGTCCAAGGGTTTCTGTGGAGCTGGGCACCCCAACACCAGGAGAGCGGACCTGTCCCGCATGGCATCTCACCTCCTCCCGCAGCATGGTGAACAGGAAGCTCATGAGGACAGCCTGTTTTCGAGGGTACTTCTGACACAGGGTGCTGATGGCCTGCACAACCACCACCTGCGTGGAAGAGACGGGGTGAGCAGCGGCCCTGCCCCGCAGTGGGCGCCCACTGGACTTCCTCAGGTCACATGAGGCCTGGGCCCAGCACCAAGAACTTCACTCGGAGTGCAGGTAGGTGGTCTCTGACCCACCAGAGTGAGAAGCACATGGTGGCGGGCACCAGCTTTTTTTTTAGGCCCAAGACTGGAATTTGAGCCAATACCTGACTCTCACTGGCTACCAACTGAGCCACGCCTGCAATCCCAGCCGCAGTCCACCCAACTGCCTTTTCACTCAGACATTCCCAAGCTGCTCAGGGTGCTGCCGTCTCTGCTGACATTCCTTCACGCAGCTTTCCAAGTGGACCATGTCCTGCCAATGGCTGCCTCCCAACAGGCTCCCGCACTGCCCTGCTCCCCTGTGCCTCCCCTGGTCTCTCATGAGTGAGTCTGTCCCCCTCCCCGGGTCTCTCAGGCTGTCTACCTCCTCTTTACCTCGCCCGGACCTCTCCCACAGCCCATGGAGAGTAAGATGAATCTCACTTGCCACAGTTCTTATCACACACAGGCGGTGCACTGTGTGTGCCCATGCTATCAAGTTTATTTTGCTGTGTTACAGTGGTTCACATCACTGTCTTTGACTCCTCCAGGGGGAGGTTGGAATGGGGTACTCAAAGAGGCCTGCAGGAGCATCTTCTGGTGGCGAAATATCTTGCTGGGGGTGCTCAGGCCTTCTTTTCTTTTCTTGCACTGGTCCTAGGGCTTGAATTCAGTGCCTGGGCACTGTCCCTAAGCTTTTTCCTCACTTGAGCCACAGCTCAACTTCTAGCTTTTTAGTGACTTATTGGAGTCTCATGAACTTTCCTTCCCAGGCTGGCTTTGAACTATGACCTCAAGTCTCAGTCTCCTAAGTAGCTAGGATTATGGGTGTGAGCCACAGATACCCAGCCTCTTATTTCATTTCCTTGCAAATAAATAATTCTTTCACGGGCTGGGAAGGTGGCTCAGTGGTAGAGCGCTCGCCTTGCATGCATGAGGCCCTAGGTTCAATTCCTCAGTACCACATAAGCAAAAAGAAAAAAAGCCGGAAATGGCGCTGTGTCTCAAGTAGTAGAGCGCTAGCCCTGAGCTGAAGAGCTGAGGGACAGTGCCCAGACCCAGAGTTCAGGCCCCACGACTGGACCCCCCCCAAAAAAATAATAATAATTCTTTCACTTATTTCAAAGCGAAACAAAAATTACTACAAAAGCCACGGGTAGTGGTACATGTGTAAAATTCTCATACTTGGGAGGATCATGAGTTTGAGGCACTATCCTGGGCTACACAGACGGATCGTGTCTCAAAAAACCAGCCAGGCACTGGTGTCTCACACCTGTAATCCTAGCTACTCAGGAGACTGAAATCTGAGAATTGCAGTTCAAATCCAGCCTGGGCAGGAAAAGCTATGAGACTCTTATCTCCAATTTACCACTCAAAAATCAGAAGTGGCACTGTGGCTCAGGTGGTAGAGCACCAGTCTTGAGCACAAAGAGGCTTAGGGACAGTGCCCAGACCAGCCAAAACAAAAACAAAAACAAAAACCATGAAACAACAACAAACAGAATCTGAGGGAAAAGGTCAAAAAGCAGCAGTAAAGCAAGCGCACTGGACATTGATGAAAGTGAACTATACAATTCGTGGGAGGAGATGGGAGGGAGGAAATGGGAGAGAATGAGGGAACAGATGACGCTGTGCGAAAGGAAATGTCCTCACTACCTGATGCATGAAAACGTAACCCTCTATAATAACAATGAACCAAACAAACAAGAAAAGCTCAAAATTCCCACCTCCACCAGCTCCAGGCTCCTCACCTCCACCAGCTCCAGGCTCCCCAACTCCACCAGCCCCAGGCTCCTCACCTCCACCAGCCCCAGGCTCCTCACCTCCACCAGCCCCAGGCTCCTCACCTCCACCAGCCCCAGGCTCCTCACCTCCACCAGCTCCAGGCTCCTCACCTCCACCAGCTCCAGGCTCCCCACCTCCACCAGCCCCAGGCTCCCCACCTCCACCAGCCCCAGGCTCCTCACCTCCACCAGCCCCAGGCTCCCCACCTCTGGGTTGCCTTCTCCTTTTCCCACCCATGAGCCGCCACTTCCCTCAGAACTGCTTTCCCACCCGCCCTCCTCTAGTAACTTGCAGCGCATTTCTGGTTTTTTCATTGTATCACGCCAATCTGAAGTTATCCTGTTGAACAGTTTATGTATTATCAATTCACTAAACGTCCCAGCAGAAGGAAGCATCATTAGGCAAGGCTTCCATCCTGAATTCACTGATACAACCTTCTCCTCCAACTCTACGGAACACAGCGACACCCCGTACTTCAGGGGATGGATTCACCCAACAGGCCAGGAAGTTACTGTTCTTGAGGCTAAAGTGATCAGGAGGGGAGCTGGGAAGGTGGCTCAGTGGTAGAGCGCTTGCCTTGCATGCATGAGGCCCTCGGTTCAATTCCTCAGCACCACATAAGCAGGGAAAAAAAAAGCCGGAAGTGGGGCTGAAGCTCAAGTGGTAGAGTGCTAGTCTAGAGCTGAAGAGCTGAGGGACAGTGTCCAGACCCAGAGTTCAGGCCCCAGACCTGACTGGGAGGAAGGCCTGGGGGCAAGGCTGGAAGAGGATGCCCCCAGGCTACTTCCAGCACAGGGACTCTGGGGCTGTGGTGTTCAGTACCTTGAACTCGTCAGAGATCTCTGACACGAAGGAGGAGATCTGCTTCATGAGGCGGTCGATGCTGCTCTCGCTGCCTGTCTTGAGGAGGGTGGTAATGGCCAGCGTGGCAATGCTGCGGTTGGAATCTGTGACCAGGTTCTCCAGGTCCAGGTTGCAGGCTGTCACAGCAGAGGGGTGTCTCATGGCTACCTGTGTGGAGAGGACAGAGACAGAGAAAGAGCAGGGACCAATGTTACTTCCTTGGAAATGTCTGACCCTGTCACAAATTATATGGACAGACATACCTCATCACCTCTAACCCTAACCCTACTCCTTTAGGTCAAGGTGGGAAACACCAGCTGGCTTAAGCCTAACTCCCAGGCCCTCACTCTTCCCATTCCCACACCCTTAGGTACCTTATTCAGGGTGCGGACAGCAGCATAGCGGAGCGCAGCCTTGGGTGAGCTGCAGAACAGCTGGAGCACTGTGGGAAGACAGATGCCGCATGCACTGGCTGCAGGCAGGCTGGAAGCCCCACTGCAGCAAGCACACTTAGGAAGATCAGACACAAACCCTCTGCTCAGCTAGGGACGATGTGGGTACCCGAGACAGAGGCAAAGGCCCTGACATGTCAGGCAAGTGGGCTGCACAGGCAGTGAACACAAGCGACGTGCCAGCCCCTTGCTGAGTAGGTGAGGTGCCTGTCTCACTGGAAGCGACTACAACAATACCCATTTTACAAAGAGGGAAGCTGAGGCACTAAGGGTGCAAATCAAGCGAAGTCACTCTCGGTGACAGCCACGGAAGACAGAAGCAGAGTTAGCACCCAGCACTGACACTGGATACCAGCTCCTCAGGAGGCTGAGATCTGAGGATCACAGTCTGCTCACACCTGCAATCTGAGTGCTTAGCCTTAGCACTGAGGTACCACTCCTCTCCTTCAGCTCTGGCTGCCAGAAACTCAGAGCTAAAGTTTGTGCTCCAACTGTTTTCTGGAATATTCACATTCCTGTCCCATTTTGTGTGTGTGTGAGCATGCATGCATCCCAGTCTGGGGCTTAAACTCAGGGTTTAGACACTGCCCCTGGGCTTTTGTGTTCAAAACTAGCACTTCCCCACCTGAGCTACCACTCCACTTCCAGAGTTTTGGTGGTTAATTGGAGACAAGAATCTCAAGGAAGCCGGGCGCTGGTGGCTCACACCTGTAATCCTAGCTACTCAGGAGGCTGAGATCTGAGATCTGAGAATCATAGTTCAAAGCCAGCCTGGGCAGGAAAGTCCATGAGACTCTTACCTCCAATTAAAAAAAAAACACTAGAAAACTGGAAGTGGCACTGTGGCTCAAATGGTAGAGCACTCTCCTTGAACTGAAGAGCATAAGGACAGTGCCTAGGCCCAGAGTTCAACCCCCACTACAAACAACAACAACAACAACAACAACGTCTCAAGGACTTTCTTGCCTGTGCTGGCTTCAAACCATGATCCTTAAATCTCAGCTTCCTGACTAGATAGGATTACAGGCGTGAGCCACTGCCACCTGGCTGCTGTTGTACTTTTAAGAATGATTCATTGGCTGGGCGCTGGTGGCTCACGCCTGTAATCCTAGCTACTCAGGAGGCTGAGATCTGAGGATCGCGGTTCAAAGCCAGCCCGGGCAGGAGAGACCGTGAGACTCCTATCTCCAATAAACCACCAGAAAACCGGAAGTGGCGCTGTAGCTCAAGTGGTAGAGCGCTCGCCTTGAGCTGAAGAGCTGAGGGACAGCGCCCAGGCCCAGAGTTAAACCCCATGACCGACAAAAAAAAAAAAAGAATGATTCATTTTTCTAAACAGGATCACATTTACTTGATGCCTCCTCTATTTTGTTTACATCACTCAATACATGGTTATAAGAAGAATTAAATACTGAAATTGGTGGATGATTTCATTAGTTTGTTTCAGAGGAGCAAACAATAACCACACATAAGCCCCCTCTCTGCGTGGCCAGTCTTATCACTACTTTGGGGAGTATCAGAAAATCAGGAGGTCCAGACATCCTAAAAGGCTTGACTTTTCTGCCATAGCCTTTTTGCTTTCCTGTGAAGAATGCTCCCTTCTTCTGCTTTGGAATACAGGGTTAAACACCTACAGATCCTCCTCTGTAATCTAAACACAGTCTCGTCTGGCACTGGCCTCGTGGTGCCTCAGAGCCTGCTCTCTACTGCTACGCCAGCACCGAGTGCAGATGAGACGCACTCAGTGGTTTAGGCAGCTTAGCCACACAAACACACGCTGCATCTGCTACAGGGCCAGGCCCTCTTCTGAGCACTTGGTATGGAACACACATTTACTGCCTCCCAGGAGGATCAGCACCTACTTTTCAGAAAGGAAACGAGGCTCAGGGAAGATGAGCCTGGCTGAGCAGTGTCCAAAGTGCAGGTGGCTCCATAATACCAGACCATGGCCTGTTTCAGGGCTCCCCCCTCCCTCCCAGCTCAGCCCCTGGTTCCCGGGGTGAGGGACCTGTGCTGACCTGACACAGCGGGGGCCAGCTCTTTGGTACTGCAGCCTGGCAGATTGACAATAGCCGAGGCAGCTTCATACACCACCATCTCATACTTGTTACGCAAGCAGCTCTCGATGAAGTCAAACAGTGGGCTATCCTGGCTACAAGAGAACACAGGGTGGCAAAGGAAGGTGAGGACAGCCTGGCACAGTAGACTAAGTGACAGAGGTCCCTGCCCGCCGCCCTCCTCATCTAGCAGGCAGCGGACGGTCCCTACCCTCCGTCCTCCTCATCTAGCAGGCAGGAGACGGTCCCTGCCCGCCGCCCTCCTCATCTAGCAGGCAGCAGACGGTCCCTACCCGCCGCCCTCCTCATCTAGCAGGCAGGAGACGGTCCCTACCCGCCATCCTCCTCATCTAGCAGGCTGCAGACTGTTCAGAACTTACCCGCCATCCTCTTCATCTAGCAGGCAGTAGACGGTCCCTACCCGCCGTCCTCCTCATCTAGCAGGCTGCAGACTGTTCAGAACTTACCCGCCGTCCTCCTCATCTAGCAGGCAGGAGACGGTCCCTGCCCGCCGTCCTCCTCATCTAGCAGGCAGGAGACGGTCCCTGCCCGCCGTCCTCCTCATCTAGCAGGCAGGAGACGGTCCCTACCCGCCATCCGCCTCATCTAGCAGGCAGCAGGCTGTTCAGAACTTACCCGCAGTCCTCCTCGTTCAGCAGCTTGCTGGCCACCCGGATCATCATACAGTAGGCAAAGGGAGACTTCAGGCCATGCCGGGAGAACTTGCTGATCATCTTACTGACTGCCAGGCGGTCATTCTTCCGCACGTGATATAGGAGACCCAATGCATGGTACTACAAGAGAGAGACAGGAAATACAGGCAGCTGACTTTTGAGTCTATCTCCTTCTCGGCTTTGGTAAGTTCAGTGCACTTCCCTGAGCTTCAGTTTTCTCATTTCCAAGAAGAGCACAGTGTGGTATCAATTCAGAGGCTCCAGATGATACAAGGAAACCAGGCCTGGGTAGCTAAGGGAGAGCTGTGTTGGTGAAAACCCAACCAAACGTGTCTGTGCACTGCTACAAAGCCAGCTATGCAGAGGGTTTTAACAAAAGGTGGCTCCTCACTGCCTGGGCCAGGTGAGCCGTGACAGCCTATCAGAACACTGAGCTGTTCTGAGCCAGCTGCTCAGTGGTCAGCAGCCCAAGCTCCCAAGTGCCTTCCTCAGTCTACTGACAAGGATTGTGAAGGCCAGGCCAAAGGCTCTTGTGGCGAGCAGACACTGACTGGGTGTTGCCAGGCCCTTGCCTGAGCGTCCTTAGTCTTTCCACATCTCACCTGGACCATGATGTTATCACTGGAAGCTGCCTCCTGGGCCTCGTTCACCCAGCGCTTGACAACGTCGAAGCTGCACTTCAGCAGGTGCTGCAGGCAACAGGCAGGTCACACCTCCACCCCACCCCCCACCCCGGTCCTGAGGCTGTGGACAAACTCAGTACAGTTACCACCCTCTCTGTCCCCCAAGTGCCAAATCTAACGTCAACAATCTGTCACCCAAGGATGGGTCAAGGCCACCCCAGCTCATTCCGACCAACCCAGAGTTCCTGTTCTTCCTACTGAGGGGGTAGAGCTCCTGGGGGGGGGGACAGAAGCTGTTATTTTATTCAGTGCCCACCTCCACCCCCGCCCCTCGCCCCTTGCAGGGCTCCGGTTGCAGCTACGCACCAATGACGATACCAAGGCAGAACTGGAGACACTGGGCACCTTGTCCACAATAGCTTGTTTCATGTAGCGCTCAATGGCCTGCAGCATAGTACTCTGAAAACAAGAAGCAAGGTAGGAGTACAGGTACCTAGGAAACACAGACCGTCCAAAAAAAAAAACAGAGTCCAGGGCCAGATGTCGGTGGCTCACACCTGTAATCCTAGCTACTCAGGAGGCTGAGATCTGAGGATCACAGTTCAAAGCCAGGCCCAGCAGTAAAAGCCGTGAGACTCTTACCTTTGGAAGTATTGATGTGGCTCGAAGTAGTAGAATGCTAGCTTTGAGTGCAAAAGCTCTGGGACAATACCTGGGCCCTGAGTTCAGGCCCGGGGGTCTGACTGGGGGTGGGGAGAGGACTCACATCTGTGATCTGGCAGAGTGCTCGAACAGCAGGGCCTCGGTAGTTATCTTCCTTCCCCGTCATATCTTTTGTCAGGCTACATTGGGAAGAAGGCACAGTCCACACATCAGGCCAGGGCCTGCCTGCCGACTGCTCTGTCTTCCATCAACTGCACTCACTGGATAACTACTTGTTCCCTTTCATTCTCTCCCTTCCAAGCCAAATTCTAACCCAGACAGCTAGAGAGATTTTTATAAAACTCAAAACTAGGGCTGGGAAGGTGGCTCAGTGGTAGAGCGCTTGCCCACGACTGGACCCAAAAAAATAAAAAAAAAAAACTCAAAACTAACCAGGCCACTCCCCTGCTTTTACTAAGATACTTCTGGTAGTTTCTCAATGCCCAAAACAGAGAAGTTGCTGAAGAAACCCTGCATTTACTGCTGTTGTGGCCTGGAACAGTAGGCTTCACCTCCCACCTGTCTTGATAATATCAACAAGTCACTCAAACCGCTCTTCTGGTTCAAAACCAAACTAATACTCTTCTAGTCCATCACAAGTCCATGAATTATATCACATTCTATTTTTTTTTTGTCCTGGTCCTGGGATTTAAACTCAGAGCATAGGCACTGTCCCTGAGCCTTTTGCTCAAGGCTAGTGTTCTACCACTTGAGCCACAGCGCCACTTCTGTTTTTTTTTTTTTTTTTGGTTGGTTGTAGGCCTTGAACTCTGGGCCTGGGCGCTGTCCCTCAGCTCTTCAGCCCAAGGCTAGTGCTCTACCACTTGAGCCACAGCGCCACTTCTGGTTTCCTGGTGGTTTATTGAAGGTAAGAGTCTCAAGGACCTTCCTGCCGAGATCCTCAGATCTCAGCCTCCTGAGTAGCTAGGATTGTAAGCGTGAGTCACCACACCTGGCTTGTTTGTTCATCTCTTTAGTGGTTAATTGGAGTCAAGAGTCTGTCAGGATTTCCTGCTCAGACTAGATTTGAACCACCATCTTCAGATCTCAGCCTCCAGTGCCCGGCTCACACTCTATCCTAATGGCCTGGCTGATAGGATATTTCCACCTAAATTCTAGGGCTATAGAAACAACAGCCATCTTGTTTGCTGCTATACTGCCAAAGCTACACATGGACTTGTACATATCCAAATGATTTTCAAAATGCACTCACAAATGAACATATGGACCTTCACACACACAACTGTGGCAAGAAAAAATAAGGGCTACACAGTAGTCTGTAATAATCCTAGCTATTCAGGAGGCTGAGATCTAAGGATCATGCTTCAAAGCCAGCCCAGGCAGGAAAGTCCACGAGACTCCTATCTCCAATTAACTACCAAAAAAGCTGCAAGTAGAGCTGTGGCTCAAGTGGTATAGTGTTAGCCTTGAGTAAAGTTCAGGGACAGCACTCAGGTCTTGAGTTCAAGCCCTAGGACCCGCACACACACACGCGCACACACGCGCGCGCACGCGCGTGCACACACACACACACACACACCCAAGTCCTAGTTCACAAGGACATTTTTTTTTTTTTAATTTTTAAATCCGGTCGTGGGGCTTGAACTCTGGGCCTGGGCGCTGTCCCTCAGCTCTTCAGCTCAAGGCGAGCGCTCTACCACTTGAGCTACAGCGCCACTTCCTGGGGACCTCTTTTGTGAAGCGGCATCTGAAGAGACTCCACCGCTTGCAATGGCCGACAAAAACCCCAAGGAAGGAGTCAAGACTGAGAACAACGATCATATTAATTTGAAGGTGGCAGGGCAGGGTGGTTCTGTGGTGCAGTTTAAGATGAAGAGGCACACACCACTTAGTAAACTAATGAAAGCCTATTGTGAACTACAGGGTTTGTCAATGAGGCAGATCAGATTCCAATTTGATGGGCAGCCCATCAATGAAACAGACACATCTGCACAGTTGGAAATGGAGGATGAAGATACAATTGATGTATTCCAGCAGCAGACAGGAGGTGTCTACTAAAAAAGGGAACCTGCTACGTTACTCCAGAACTTTGTTCTTATAGACCAAGAATACATTCTTTTTTTTTTTTTTTTGGTCCGGTTGTGGGGCCTGAACTCTGGGCCAGGGCTCTGTTCCTCAGCTCTTCAGCTCAAGGCTAGAGCTCTACCACTTGAGCCACAGCGCCACTTCCGGCCTTTTTTTTTCTGCTTATGTGGTGCTGAGGAATCGAACCCAGGGCCTCATGCATGCAAGGCAAGCGCTCTACCACTGAGCCAACTTCCCAGCCCCAAGAATACATTCTTAACTAGAAAAACTGCAATTTGGGTCCACCACATCCTGACAGTATAGTTTTCTCTATTCTTTCATTTTCCCCTTTCCCATTCCTTTATTGTACATAAATAACTGGTGTATGTGCACAAGCATATTGTTTTTCTTTTATTTTTTTTGTTAGTCATGGGGCTTGAACTCTGGGCCTGAACGCTGTCCCTCAGCTCTTCAGCTCAAGGCGAGCACTCTACCACTTGAGCTACAGCGCCACTTCCGGTTTTCTATCTAGTGGTTTATTGGAGATAAGAGTTTCACAGACTTTCCTGCCCAGGTTGGCTTCGAACCACGATCCTCAGATCTCAGCCTCCTGAGTAGCTAGGATTACAGGCGTGAGTCACTGGTGCCTGGCTCCAATAGTATATTTTGATCGACATCAAATGAAGATGGGATGTGGAAAAATACTGGTTCTGTAAAAATATCCCCCTTCTCCATTCATGGCATGCTGGTATATTTTGATCGACATCAAATGAAGATGGGATGGGGAAAAATACTGGTTCTGTAAAAATATCCCCCTTCTCCATTCATGGCATGCTCATTCAGCTTTTTTTTTTTTTTTTGGGGGTCTGGTCGTGGGGCCTGAACTCTGGGCCTGGGCGCTGTCCCTCAGCTCTTCAGCTCAAGGCTAGGGCTCTACCACTTGAGCCACAGAGCCACGTCCGGCTTTTTTCTTTTTGCTTATGTGGTCCTGAGGAATCGAACCCAGGGCCTCAGGCATGCAAGGCAAGCGCTCTACCACTGAGCTACCTTCCCAGCCCATCATTCAGCTGTTTTTTTTTTGGTCCAGTCATGGGCCTGAACTCTGGGCCTGGGCGCTGTCCCTCAGCTCTTCAGCTCAAGGCTAGTGCTCTACCACTTGAGCCACAGCGCCATTTCCGGCTTTTTTCTTTTTGCATATGTGGTGCTGAGGAATCGAACTCAGGGCCTCAGGCATGCAAGGCAAGCACTCTACCACTGAGCCACCTTCCCAGCCCTCATTCAGCTTTTAATCTTTATATTTCGGTAAGTTATTTTACTCTGTTTTAACAAAAAAAAAAGAAAAAAAAAACAAAAACCTTGCACACCTTGTTTGATTGGAGAATTTTAATGCTTTTATCACTGTAAAACCAAGGATAATTTTATACCTTTTTTGTACATAGCTGTTACATGTAGGGCAATCTGTCTTTAAGTAGGGGTAAATTACTCTTTAAAAAAAAAAGAATCCTAGATAGTTTTCCCTTCAGTGAAGCGTCTTGTTGTTTAAATAAACTTCTTGTTAAAAAAAAAAAATGAGGGCTGGGAAGGTGGCTCAGTGGTAGAGCGCTTGCCTTGCATGCCTGAGGCCCTGGGTTCGATTCCTCAGCACCACATAAGCAAAAAGAAAAAAGCTGGAAGTGGCGCTGTGGCTCAAGTGGTAGAGTGCTAGCCTTGAGCTGAAGAGCTGAGGGATAGCTCCCAGGCCCAGAGTTCAAGCCCCATGACCAACAACAAAAAAAAACAAAGGGAGTGAGGAGTGAAAGGAAGGAGCAGTTTATTCTCTAGTCCAAGCTAGGGTAGTAAAAGGGAAGCAGCACATTCTAGAGGTGGCGTGGGGTGACACAGTAACTGAGTATGAGTGACACAGGAGGAAATAGCACCTGGCCACATGTCCGTCCAAAGTCTCATCACTATGCAACGAGAAAAAAAATGACTTTTGTCACTGGAACCCATCCAAGGAGCCACCCATAGCCCCAGACTCGCCTGCTGGTGACGATGATGACGTCTTCGGCAATGCATGACATCTCCTTGATGGTCAGGTAACACATCCGGCGGAGCGTGGGCTGAAAGGCATGGGAAGGCAGTTCGGCGAAAGGGCCAGATTGGAAAGGAAACCTCCAATCTACACAGAGCAGTCTAGGGACTACTGGGCCAATCTGGCCCTCTGCCACCCTGTCATGCTGCTCTCCCCAGAAGAGCCAGATGGGTACTTACATCATTGGACTGAAAGAGCTTGGTCATCGCGAAGAAGGCCTCTGTCGCTTCGGTGGTCCCCAGGTGGTCCCCCTGTGGTAACAAAAAGCCTCAGCTTGGGTGAGGCCGGTGGCCAGCCAAGGGTCAGCACAGGCTGGATCCCGGTGGCCAGCCATGGGTCAGCATAGGCTGGATCCCGGTGGCCAGCCATGGGTCAGCATAGGCTGGATCCTCAGACTCAGAGCTGGATGCTCAGGGAACTCAAAGCGGGGCTGCCCCTAAGACCACATAGACTGTCACAGAGCCTGAGCACCCACACACATACCCAGTGCCGCTTCCTCTGCCCTCATGTTCATCCTGTACCTGGTTTATGATGTAAAGGATCTTGGTAAGGATGTGGGCACATTTCCGAGGGTTGATAGGAGTTTCATTAAAGACTCGGGCCTAAGAAGAAGAAGAAGTGAGTATTATCTACTAGCCCAGTTCATTTTCCCTCTGCCACCCACTGTCAAGTACATATGGGGTCTAAGAAGTCATAGAGTCAATAACACACAGGACTAGACAATCTTATTCTCATAAGGATATACTCCTTTTCCTTATCATGGACAATTCTTGTAATCTTTCCTGTTGGTGAAGAATGTGCTGAGTTACTGACTGGCAGACACTTAGCAAGCACTCAACCAGAGAGATGACGCATGTGCACACAACCAATTCTCTTCTGGAACACAGTTCTCCTGTCTTCCAGACAAGGGTTCCTTACACCGTACTCAGACGGCCCTGAGGATGGTGCTCATGGTGGAAGACCAAGGGAAATCCCACTTGCCTCCTGCAACACTGCACTTTTCTCCAGGTGCTGGAATGGGTTGGAACCTCCACCTGCAGCCAAGAGTGGAGAACACGGGTCAGACGGAGGCCTTGCCAGGAAAGCCAGAGACGTGGGGCTGGCACTGGAGGGGCCATCTGTCCAGACCCCGCAGCTGTCTGTCCAGGACCCGAATCCCCGCGGAGCCACGTGTCGGTGGCTCTCTCTGCTTTCATTCCGGCAACTAGCACTTCACGGAGCCCCCACGGGCCAGGGACCAACCCGGCCGCCCCGTCCCTGCGGGTCGTCACCCGGCGGAGGTCTGGCGGTCCGGCGGTCCGTCTACCCATCCGGCCGCCCCAACGCGCTCACCCCGGCCGCTTCGTCCTG